TAAATACAACATTCCGTATATTAATTGTATATACACATATCTATTTACATATGCATCAAATGTACTAAAATGTTGAAAAGGATAAAAAATAGAACATGAACATCATATTATACAATTTGGTTTCGTGTCAACATCTTGGGCCATTGTCTGAGTGTAGGAATGTAGTTCCTCAATAACACACACAGATTGCTCGCACAGTTGCCTGTCACGACGTAACAGCATGTAAGTATTAGTGTATAGATGCAATGCCCGAGGGTCTAAGAATATCCCTACGAAGCTTACCAAATTTAAAATATTCACGCCTTTTCGAACCCACAGCCTTAGTGCCCACGTCCTTGGCTTCACCTTGGTGCATCCCAAGTCCCTCCTATGTAACACCACTCGCTCTGTATTTATAATAGAGGAAATGGATCTCTGCACAGTAGAATAATAGTATAAACAAAAATATAGAGCAAAAAATACCATTGACAAATGTGTAAACGCACGGAACCGAGGTAAGGAATTTACGTGGTTCTGGAAGCGCGTGTTTGCTTTTCATTGGAAATGCCCAGTAGAGGATCGAGATAGGTCTATGTAATGTTTAGGAAGAGCGATGGTGCTCTTAAATGGGAATGTATCCAGAGGAGATATGCACCTCGAGAGGGCCTGGGAGATCTTAGAGTAGCACCGGTAGGTAGCAGCTGGGAAAGCGATAGGGCAAACCTGAAAAGCTAGCTCAGAGTCAAGAGAGTAGGAAACTATCTAGAATGAGAAAGCCTGTGCCAGCAAGTTTACTTTATCATTTATGTAATAAAGAGCGGTGCCGGAGCTAGACAATTTTGGGCCTCGGGCAATGTTGAATTCCCCCCCCCCCGCGAGAAAGTAATTAATAAATGTAGCATCAAATAGCTATATGGGTTATTCATACCTACAAACTTTTTATTAACATTCACTATCTACAACTAGAAATATTCAGTCCTAATCCTCAATGAAAATAGATGGCCAATATTTATATATATGTATAATTTTACAAAAATTTGTATTAAAATATATAATAGTTCTAGCTTATAATTAATGACTATTATAATTAACTATTTACCGTAAAAAAATAACTGAAAATTTTATGAAATGTCAGCCCGAACCGTGACTTATAAAATTACGTTAACAATTTTCTTAAGTTCCAATTTCTTTTTCAATTTTCTACTATTTTTCCCAATCAGTCCCATCACGGACCCCTTAACTTGCCGGGCCCCGGACAATCGCTCGGACTGCTAAGCCTTGCACTGGCACTGATAAAGAGAAAATTATGTAAATATGCCAAAAATCAAAGTCAATATTATAGAATATGCCCGTTTTGGTGTTATAAATAGTGCGAAGGAAATTTGTCATAACCATTCTTAAATATGTACATTCCACTTTAGACAATTGGCTGTAAACTAAACAATAGTTCTCTCCTATTCTACAGAACTACGACAACTTCGCAATTCTGTACGTTGATGAATTCAATCGTAGATCGCAGACGTAAACCTCTGGTGGCGCGCATCTCAACTAATGTTCATTGATGCACTCTTGAATCTGTGACGGTACACGCAAAATGTCCACAAAAGTAATTATTTTGTAATTATAGTAATATTTATGGTTTTAAATCATAGCTTATAATACTCCTGACCTTCAAAGGAAGCTAGCAGCAAAGTTTCGTGGAGATTTGTTCAGTGCCTAAAGAATCATCGCGTTGTAACTCAACAAAATTGTCTCTACATATAACTATAGAGATTCACTAATAAAATAATGCTATAGATAGATAATATAGAGAGATATAGATGTATACAATATAAATTATATAACCACTACAGACAATAAGAAAACGTATGTGTTTTATTAGAACCAGTAGTTACAATTTGAGTTAATTTATTAGAATAAATCACGCTCTAGCTGAACCATTCAAGGGATCCGAGACCTTGTAAGTGTATCATCATACAAAATACTACCCAAACAAACAACAATAGGTATAAGCTGAGGCCAGGAAAATGTCACAGTGTAACAGTTATGATGTAATACCGTAATACCAAACGTAAGAATTGTACGATAGTTACGAATAAATAGTAATAAATAAGGGATACATTGAAACTAAACAATTAATAATTCTGTTAGTAGTGTCAAACCTTACAATTGCAGAAAAAGCTCTGTCTTTTGACTTTGATCTCTGTATGTCATAACAGCAGTCGAAAGTTCCTCAAAGGAAACTTTAAGTTCCTCAATCATAACAGTTGGCGTCAATTCTAATTTCCCCGGAAATATTTTCTACTATAAACTATTCCATTTGCGTCCAATGGGATAACCCATTACGAGTTTAAATAGTCCGAAATAAAACATCAGTCTTTAACGTGGAAAGAGGAAATTTTTCTTTCGAAAATTCAAACCAAAAGTGGAATAATTAAGAAAATATTTCATGAGAGCATACTAGTTAAAAAAAGAAGAGATTTTTAACTTTTTTTCAAATAAACCAACCTTTCCTTCGAAATACTTTTTTAGACAAATTTGAAAGTTTGGATAATGTGAAGAATACTCCAAAGAATATATAAGATGTTGCATAATTATTGAGTAAA